AATTTATATATTACGAATTTATTTGACGATTTTTGATTTATATCACGAATTATACTATAGCACATTTCTAATAGGTTTAACGAATTACATGTCATTTATTTGAATTCAAATTTATTTTAATGACTTAGTATTTACTAAAAAGAGGTAATTTTTTATATGGATTTGAATGATTGTTTTGAATTCTTAGAATTGTGTGCATTTGCAATGTACCTAAGTTAGTAGCGAGCGAAGCGATCTTGGTACGCGAAGCAAACCATATAAGATTGCGTAGCAATTTTCGGGGGTTGGCGAGCGTTAGCGAGCAGGGGGAGCAGCCCACTAGTAATATATATATATAGGAATTGATTAATATTCAAATTGAATAGCATTGTGAATATCCTTATGCACTTAGAATTTAAAATCTGTAACTTAAATTTATTAAATATGATCGCAGAACCACTCAGTTAAGTTTGAATTTATTATATGAGATTTTAAAATGTATATAATAAAATTTTTAAAATTATGTTTGATTATTTGAAAAAGTTTTTATCATATCCTAGAGGAAAATATTCTAAAATGTTAAGAAAATGTAACTATAATTCAGCAAAAAAAGCGTAGAATTTTTCAAAAACTTCTATTACATTTCTCCTGCGGCACTTTCATAAACGCACTGTGGTGACAAACAAATAATTTCCAGCAATTAAATAATAAAAAAATATTTACAATCCGATAGAAATGCACTAGAATTAAAAGGGGGAATTTTTTGTAAATTTATTATTTAATTACTCATGGTATTAATTTAATGGACAATTCATAATCATTAACTTTTATATAGATGGGAATTGTGCAATCAAAAATTAATAAAATAAGCATCTTAAGAGACAATTGCTTGATTTCTTAGATGTTAATTAATAGTTTTTCGGTATTATAAAACATTTAACAAATTAGAAAAAATAAAAAATATTAAGAATAATTTATAAATAGGTAGGCATAATGCAGATCTCTTAGTTTTAATTTATAATAATAGATGGCGCCACTAATAAATATTAAATTAAAAAAATTATATTTTAATTTTATTTATAATCTAATTTAATGGACAATTCATAATCATTAACTTTTATATAGATGGGAATTATGCAATCAAAAATTAATGAAATAAGCATCTTAAGAGACAATTGCTTGATTTCTTAGATGTCAATTAATAGTTTTTCGGTATTATAAAACATTCAACAAATAAAAAAAAATAAAAAACATTAAAAATAAGTTATAAATAGGTAGACATAATGCAGATCTCTTAGTTTTAATTTATAATAATAGATAGCGCCACTAATAAATATTAATAAAAAAATTTTAACTTAATTTTAGTCATCCACAAGAAATAAACAAAATATTAAATTTAATTCGATGAACATTAATTTAATTAAATAAATATCAAGTGAAAACTATTCGGTTTTTATTTTATAGTGAGTATAAGAATTAAGCAGGCAATTAAAACCGATTTCAATGTTATTCAATAAATTAGAAGGGATATTAGCTTCATATGAATTCATGCATGTAATAATCATAAATTTAACTAAAGAAGCATTTCCCATAAAAATTAAATACAAAATTTTTCTTAAAATAACTAACAAATCTTTGTCCATGAGGTTTGGAAGTTCTAGAATTCCATTTCGTATTGGTAAGTTCCCCAAATTCCATTAACCCTTGTTGCAATCGTCTAAATTTTAAACATTGCTTCTAAGAGTAATGGTATTTGAGGAAATGATTTTTATTTCATTTTTAAATGAAGAAGGCAGTTTCTCTGTTAAAAAAACTGACATTTCAAGTTTGTACACAAAAGCTGGAGTATGGAAATCACTCTATGCTGAAAATAACAAGTACGGCAGAATGAAATAACCATACGTCACAGATGGCGTTGCCGAGAAAGCCAATCAGCGTGCGCAAAATCTCTTGGGGATACTATGTGTGTAAAGAGAGTTTACATGCTGCCGGGTGATTACAAGCACTATCTGTCTTCCGCTCTAAATTGTGATAGTGTAGTGCGCGGATATTGCCTTCTGATAATTATTAAGAATGAGTCATTGAATCTATAAGAGGTCGTTAGAGCAACCTCATATTAGAGCTAGAGAGACATTTTTTATTTATTCATACAAAAAATAATCATATATAATATATTCATCTCGATTTGCTCATCAGATAGCACAAAGAGAAAAATAACACAAAGAAACATTCGGGTTTTCAAGGAATCGAAATCTTTACCACCACGATTACAAAAATACCAACAGGAGATTTAGCATTGTAAAAGCAGCCGAAAGTAGTGAAATGCACAAATGTTTTGCTACTTGCTAAACTAAAAATAAAATTTGAAACCTCACAGCTTTTTGTATTTGATCCTATCTTCGTGACTGCGAAATATTCTCATTTTTCAAACGCTCTAAGTATCTCAATACCTTAAGAGTATCTATATAAAAAAGGTACTACTAGTCAAAAGCGAATATAGTTACGAATAGCTCTCGGTATTGTTCAAGTTATTATTCGTTAATTACAAAAACAATCAACTTGAAAGCTGAAGTCGTGGGTTC